ATATATATATATATATACATATATATATATATATATTTATATCCATTAAAAGCATATGGCAATTGCATATAACTAGCTTTATCAAACGTTTTCGTTTTACAGTACAGTTATATTAATATGTATGCTAAAAAGCTAAAATAATGGAAAATGGCAGCCATTTTAATTTGTAATAGCTCAAAAATGTGTACAATATTTAGTTAACTGTTGTTGTCATTGTTATGAGTGAATTTCCAATTGAATACTGCATTTTAATGACATAAACTTACAGTATTAGTGAACATTTTAGGAAAATTATACACATCTCTGGCAACCCCCCTTACGTATGAAAAAAAAATGTTGCACATACTTTTTTGATTTATCAATGTCTACTCTACATCATATCCAATTTTTAAAAAATATAGCAAAAAAAAATGCAACCTCTGATATTGCTATATTTCGGACTGGACTAATATTTGGTTAAGGTAAGTGGTAAATAATCGAGCTCTCCTTTCGCTCAATGCTGGATCGCCACTGAACTAGTGGGTGCAGTCCTTTTTTTGCTCTTTTCTCTTTTAACTCGAATTTGACACCCTCTTTTTTATTTTTCGGCTTGACTGAAGTGGGAGGGGAACGGGCCCTGGGCCCCCTCTGGAGCCGCTAGCTCCTGTTAGCTCAAAAGCCGTATCTATTTCCATAATAAAAACTTCAAAAACACAATCCTAAAATTTTTGAAAAGGCCTATATAAATTATAATATTTGTTTTTCGTTTCTGTAACCAGAAGAAAGATGACGTTATGACTAAAGAAAAGGTTGTCACAAAATATTCAATCATCGACTTGGTGCGAACACCAGTTTTACGAAAAAGATCGTGCAACTTATTGTTCAGCTGGTATGCCTATGATTTCTGTTTTCTTTATTAAGGAATGAATGTTAGTAAAACTTGATGCAATAATTAATTTTACTGAAAAATATGTATTTTATTTTATTCATTTTTTTAATTTTTTAAATTTCGAATCAAAACTAACAGTGAAACTAAATCGTTACTACATGCTTAAAAATACACAGACAATATAAGAACAGGGAACAGTGAAATTGAAATTTTGTAATTTCACTGTTCCCTGATAAGAAAGCGACACAGACAAGAAAAATTAAAAAGTATACTTCTGTATGAATGTTTGATGCAATAATTAATTTTACTGACGATTATTTATTTTATTTTATTTATTTTTAATTTTTTTTTTGGTTTCAAATCAAAAACAAATCGCCGCATACATGCTTAAAAAACACAGACAAGATAAGACACTAACTATATAGGGAGCTTTCGATTTGTGCGACGACGCGACACTAGAACGGAATCACTCATGCGTGACCGTCCTACCTGGCGTCCTACGTTCTCTGCATACGTAGATTTAGCCAAATTGCGTTCCAGAATCTACTCAACGAGGTGACCTTCGTTCTCGCATGCGCAGATGACTTTTAGTGACGTCATTAGTTCTACGCCCTACTGTCGTTGTGCAATCGAAAGCTGCTTATTAAATGTAAAAATCGACGACAAATAAGAAAAGTGAAAAGTCAATCAAAAAGTTTTAGAGAAGGAACTGAAAAGCTACCCATCTTAACTTATAATTCTTTATGAATGTTGCCCCACTAGTATGGTGATTATGATGGTTAAATTGGATACACATTTTCAAGTTATTTGTCGTGGTATTACTTGATATTTATACTCTGATTTTTTTAATTTTTTTTGTATACCTTTTGTATTAGGTTCACCAACGCCATGTTGTATTATGGACTATCATTTCAAACAGAAAGCTTAGGGAGTAGCCCGTACCTATCGTTCTTTCTTGCTGGTCTTGTTGAGATGCCTAGCTACATCTTAGCGCAGCTGCTTCTAGATCGCATCGGCAGGAAGCCAATTCTATGTGGATACATGGTGTTTGGTGGTGTTGTGCTTTTAGCGACTATTGTAATCCCAGAAGGTCAGTACAGTATGTATATTGATGATGATGATGATAATATAATGTAACGATAAATGTAACAGTTGAGGGGATGATGAGACGATGACGATGTCTATGACAACGATGATAATGATGTTGACACAATGACGACGGTGGTGGTGACGATGGCGAAGATGATGATGATGTTGACACGCTTTGTTCTGTTTAGACAACTCTCTAGGAGCTCTCAAATTTTAAATTAATAGTTGTTTCATCAGGTAGCATCATATAGGACATATCGACACCAGGATATTTAACTTTTGTAAAGTAACCCGGGCGTAGGCCGTCCGTGCTTTCCTCCGTACATTGAGAGGAGTAATGATGCCATCTAGGTTTTGGTTAAAAAGTATTTAGAATGATGACTATAATGATGACGTTGACGATGATCCGGCCTAAACTATTAAAATTGATAAGTGCTCATTGGAATGTTCGCTTCACCACTGGAGCTGCCGCGACCTGGTACAATAACAATTACGATATAAAAAGTATAAATACGAATAGCAAAAGTAATTGCTGAGCAGCTTAGCTTAGTCGTCTAGGAGGGGTAGCGCACTGTATTTGCTGAGAGTTCTCTGCTTCAATTCTATTTGCTGCTGATTGTTTTTCAGCTAGAGGATTAAAACGTAAATAATAGCGCACAACTAGTCTTTAAGATGAGTCATTTAAGCTGTTGGCTCGTGGACAATGACCCC